AGAAGATTTAATGTATAAGTAGTATTATCTGGAGGCATGTAAATGTATTAATTCTCTACATTTACTTAGGGTCCATACTATTGTGGAGCTGGAGCTGAGAAATCATTTGGTCGTGACATCTCAGATGCACATTACAAGGCTTGCTTATATGCTGGCGTTAACATTAGTGGCACCAATGGTGAAGTTATGCCAGGGCAGGTATGCCTCCTATCATTACCCTTTTTATCTTTTTTTCGAGAATACTTTAATGACTACATTCATAGTTTAGTCATTTTATTTATTTCTGCACATGGTTTGCAGTGGGAGTATCAAGTAGGTCCAAGTGTGGGCATTGAAGCTGGTGATCATATCTGGTGTTCACGATACATTCTTGAGGTAACTTTTAACTTTTCAGTGTGTTTGAGTACCCTTTGATTATTTCTTCTAGGAATAAGTCAAATGCCGACGACTGATCTTCATCTGTAAACATTTTATATCCACAAATGAAGCTTTTAGTTGATCCCTAAGAAAATGCTTTAATTTTCCAAATTAGCTTCCAGAAGGGTTTCTTTCACTCACTGCAGCTATATAACTTTTTGAGTGCACCACAGAACTTTTTCCATCCAAATCATAGACTTGATGTTGTGAAATACTTGATTGTGCTTGATTATCCTTAAAGCTTAGGTTCATAGTAAACGATTTAAATCTATTATTTATATATTATCTAGTCCTCTCACACACAAGCTTGGTGGCTAAAAGTGTTGCTTTCTGCTGAAATATAATTAACAAATATTATACAGCAGTCTCTATTCGAACTCTAGACTTCTGGTTTTGGTACCTATGAGATGATTAATTGCATCCAATTACTTCAGAAATGGTACAACACATTTATACATTAACAGACATTATTTAGAATTCTAGTGTTAAATCAAGGAGAATATTTTTTTCTTGGATTTGTAGCACGGTTGCATCCAACATTTGTAATTGTAGAAGCCCTAATCAAAGAATCAAATGTCAACTGAGAGCATGGTATATATTTCTGAAAATTTGAACAGATTAAATTTACTTGTTGATCCTTTTCCTTTTCTAGAGAATCACCGAACAGGCTGGCGTTGTTCTTTCCCTTGATCCTAAACCAATAGAGGTAAACTTAAATATTTTGACAATGAGTTCTTAGTCAAAAAGTTTGGTTAAATGATCCTCACGTTCCTCATACTTACAGGGTGACTGGAATGGTGCTGGCTGCCACACCAATTACAGGTAATCTTGTCATTGTTCAGTTCTCAGTAATATAAATTTATGTTTACATTGGGAGAACATGCTAATATTACAAAGATATGACCCAAATCTTTATAAATGATGATAACTAAATACTGTTTATATGCAGTACAAAGAGCATGAGGGAAGACGGAGGCTATGAAGTAATAAAGAAGGCAATCTTGAACCTTTCCCTTCGCCATAAAGACCATATTAGTGCTTATGGTGAAGGAAATGAAAGAAGGTTGACGGGAAAGCACGAGACAGCCAGCATCGACACATTTTCTTGGGTACACTACTGAATACTAGAATAACTTCAAGGAAAGAAAAGAAAATATTAGTGCTGTTGTAGTTCCTCATGCAATTTCTCAAATTTCAACTTGCAGGGAGTTGCCAATCGTGGGTGCTCAATTCGTGTGGGGCGTGACACCGAGGCGAAAGGAAAAGGTATACTACTTTTAATATCATTAGAAACATAATTTCTTTTTGCAGGGTGCCATAATCCAAAAGGAGGGAAGAAAAAAGAATGAAATTGTAGATGTGCCATAAATCTAGTTGTTGATTAAAAAAGGTTTTCCCTCGGTTACAGTTTAAGGCAACTTTTATAAATAAGGAGAGATATTTTCCTTCCAACTGATATACTTTTTATAAGACAAGACTATTGACGAGACAATATCTCACTTGGACTCGAAGAAACTTTGGCCATATCTCTAGTGGTTGGCTACATTACTGAAAGCAGATTGTATTGGGTTCCATTTTTCTGATGATCCTCATGGTTGCAAAGATAATTGTCTTACGAACTCCATATTGATCTTGGAATTAACGTATCCAGAACTTTTGATGAAGGGGTATTCTTGGAACAAAAGCTGTATTACACGAATACTTTCATGAATTACATAGTGGATAACTTAATGCACTGCATTCTCTCATTCCTAATCTTCCTGCCTTCCATTCCTTACCTTTTTGTTATTTGAACTCTGTATTTGCCCTATAACCTTGAATACTAACCTTGTTTTTGACATTATATCTTCTATTAGGTTATTTGGAAGACAGACGCCCTGCTTCGAATATGGACCCATATGTTGTGACCTCATTACTGGCAGAAACCACCATATTGTGGGAGCCTACTCTTGAGGCTGAAGCTCTAGCTGCTCAGAAGCTTGCATTGAAGGTTTAAGCACCGAAAGAGCAAAATAAATTAGATTTTTTTTCCAGTTTCTTTTGGCATTCCTGGGCGAGATCCCTGTAAATAAAGGGTCCTAAATTGAGTAGCCTATGCATGTGAAATGGTTTTTTAGCCGTTGGCATCCTCTGTTGGAACCAAACGATTCCCAAGTTAGTTTTGGGTTTCTGGGTGTTCGCTTCATTGATCTTCTGCAACTTTTTATGCCCTCCAAATCCATTTTGGCAATTTATGATAATCTTGTTTGGACACTTCTACATTTTCATTCTCATTTCGTCAAATTTGTTCTCATTGGCCAAAAATGAGATTCAGTGTCCACGAAATGTTATTGATGATTCTGAGGCTGATAGAAGAGAAATAAAACCTATTAAAGGCAATTCAGAAAAAGTAGAAGATAACTTTATTCTTTCTTTTGTTTGGTGAGGAGGAAAAGCTTCTCCAGCTGTAAAGTGGTCCAGAGGAAAATAAAAACAAATTACTGCCTGCATATATGAAATTTCTCTTATATTCCAAACCTGTGAGTGAAGCAAGTCATTTCTTTGAACTCAAGACAAGCCAACTCTAAAATTAAACATACAGAAAACCAGCCTTGTTAATAGCACCTTCTATAACGATGATTCTTTATATAAGAGTTTTGGCCTAAGCTTGACAAGCAGGGAAGAAGATTCAAACTGCAAAAAGCCATGGCATCTTCAGGATCCAAATCAGTAGCATTCTTCCTCTTGTTCCTCAATCTTGGCTTGTATTTCATCATAACAATAATTGCAGCATGGGCTATCAATCATGGGATCATGAAGGCTCGTGAATCAGGTATTTATCGATGTATACCATTTGATCATTATACAAAGGTTAGTGATTGCTGCTCTGTGAGGTTTAACTAAATAAGTCCATTGGTAGTTTATGAAATTTTGGTATATCGGATTAGGTTTAAACGAGGGAAAAACTTTTATAAATAAATTCGAATATGCATTTTTTATGAATATATAATTTTTTAAAATTTTGATATTTCAGAGTTATAAATTAAATGACAAAAAAATATATTAATCTATAATAATAAGAATCTCTTTATCTGGAACTATGTAAATTCTTTATGTTTTTAACATTTCAGCTTTGATGCTCTTGCTTTTCTATATGGCACAATAATATTGTTTCAAGTGTATTTATATATATGTGGAAATCCATTGCAGCATCTGTACTGTCGCCTCCAGCCCACCTATTCCCTATATATTTCCCAATGGGAAGCATGGCAACAGGCTTCTTTGTCGTATTTGCCCTGATTGCTGGTGTTGTGGGCATGGGCACCTCCGTCACTGGTCTTAAAAACATTCTTCAATGGACTGCTCCTAACTTGCATTCAGCAGCTGCCTCTTCTATGGGCACCTGGGCTCTCACTCTCCTAGCCATGGGGTACTACTCAACATACATAATACATACATGCATGCATGCATATATATGTATGACAGACTGTTAAACCAAAAGCTAATGAACATGGTGGTGGCTTTCATTAATTCAATTAGTTTCTTATTGCTTTTCCAATATTTTGTATTGCAGGTTGGCATGTAAAGAGATTAATCTTGGGTTAAGAGATGCCAACTTGGTAAGTTGTTTCCTTGTTAAATTAACTCTCACACTATTAATAGCTTATTAGAGATTTGAATTGATTAATATAATTTATAAAGTAAGATTTTTATTATATTATTTATGAAAATATAATTTTGTATTAATATATACTATTATATAATTTATTATTACATTTTTAATGAAATATTTTTTAAAAAAATAAAATACGAATAAATTAATATTTCGGTCAAACTTAACTAAAATATTTACATTATATCGGAATAACATTGTGATTGAAATAATAATGATGATATGCAGCGAACTTTGGAAGTGATAACAATAATAGCGAGCACAACACAATTAATTTGCACAGGTGCTATTCATGTTGGAGTTGAAGAGGTTATTTCAGGACAGAGAAATCTTGAGAGAACAAGAGTTTGAGATTTCGGAATTGCATAACTCACATTAAATTCGTTTACGAGAATCATGACGATTAAAATTTTCATCCTCGTAATCAATATTGTAAGTTTAGGTGTATAATTTAATTTCATTATTTAAATTTTAATTTAAATTTGTACGATGAAAAAGTTATTAATTTATTACATATATTGTACAAATGTGAAGCTTGTAATAGTGTAAAGTATATTCATGTTGATTGTAATTCTATAAATGCTTGGTGATGATTTATTTTAATTTTTTTTTGGGATGATTAGTGAGTTAATTATGTGATTTTTTAACCATAATTAACTTTTTTGGCCGTAATTAGTGAAATATATCATTTCATTTAGCATAATCAATTATAATTATGTTGGAATATCCATCTAAAAATATCTTCCTTAACATTGTTTAGAATAAATAAATTAAAATTTATTTATAAATTAAGAATTTTAATATTTAATATATAAGAGGTTACAATTAATTTTACACTTTTTTATAAATTTTTTTTGCTATTTTACAAAAAATTTCTGTTCATGGACTCTTTTAAAAATAATAATTATAATTAAAAGAGTAAGCTTTATAAGAACAATAAAAATAAAACTCAAATAATTAGGTTAGTATAGAAAAATGACCTTATTAAAATATTAATAATTTAAAAAGGAAAAATTAAAAATAAAATAAACAAAAATAAAAAAAGTCCCCCGTCGTTGTGTTCTTTCGTCAACTCAAAACATGAACTGCACGCACCGTACGGTCCCAACGGTCACATTTCCTTCGCTGTTCAGACCCGCCCTCAAAACCCTAATTTCCCCATTTTCAGCGCCAATTTTCGCCCCGAATGTCGCAAAACCTAAAACTTTTATTCTCAAGAGGATTTGTGATGTTAGAGCTTCTGTCGAAAAGAATGATGGAACCAGAAACTGGGCCTCCCAGTTGCCAACCAGGGGTATCGCTGCTGATAAAGTGTTTAGGTTGATTTCGAGTGCCACCGCTAGTCCCATTGGCCAGTTCATATCATCACCCACTACGTTTTTGCATTCCGTTGATCCCAGAATCAAATTGGTATAAGGAAAAAGAAAATTGCAGTTTGTAGTTTGCTTTTGCTTCTGCTTAATTATTTTGTTTTGATGGAATTTTGATGAATTACTGAGTTCAATTTCTGGTGAAATGGAACTGGGAGCAGCGGTAGCGAGATTTTCACTTTACAGGATTGCAGCTCTTTGAATTCTGGCGGTGATTGTGGAAAGATAAATAGATGTGGCTCATATTTAAATGCAATTCAATCTGCAAAATCAAATTAACTTAATTTGACCAAACAGTTTACAAAATGAATTCTGCTTCTTTCTCCCTTTTGAATTAGAAATTGAATTTTGAATATTTCTTTCACTTGGGTGAGTTCTGGTAAACACTGTGGTAGCTTGTATAACTGGAATGAGACTTAAATTAGCTATGACACATTAACCTTCAATTATAATGGTTAAAGTGTTGCACTTTCCTTTGTTTATATTTGCTAACTTTTCCCTATTCGTCTGCTTAAGCTGCAAAAGAGACAGCTAGAAACCGAAAGTAGTGAATGATTTCAATTTTAGTTCAAGGCACTTAGCCAGTTGGTTAGCTTAGGTTGTCTAGATGTTGTTGTAAACTTCTGTTGTTTTTTCCCATGAGCTAACTGTGAGTAATGATGTTTTATTATTGAACTCTTTTGCTCCAATTTTAGGTCAATTCTATTTTTTATGCAGGTATGGCTTTTGGCTTTAGTTGTTCTACCTGCAAGATCACACATAGTAATGCGTTTTGGATTGGTAATATGCACAGGTCTTCTGTCAATGTGGATTCTCCCAAAACACGTGTGGATGGTTAGTACTAATAAAAGTCCAATAACTGATAATATTATGGTCAATTTATAGGTATCCTCTTCCAATTATGTGGCAGATTTATCTGAACTTTTGCTTGTTAATTTGGATACAGAGAGTAACACGATAATGTAGCTTAAGAGGAAAAAAATTATAATAATAAAACACCATTTAGTTATTTGAATGCAAATTTCTTGAGAAGCTTAGAAATATAGCTACCTTGTATCATTCTGCTGTATGTTTCTGTTTCAGTAAATGTTTTTCACAACAATATATAAGTAGTATTTTCATTCTAAGTGGTGAAAAGTAGCTGTCTCTGTGTTATCCCTGTTAGAATATAAAACAAATATAAGGATAAAGCTGGGGCCCTTTTTATCATCTTGTGCTTTTAGGATAATTAGTCATCTAATTTAATTATTTCACATAAGCTTAAAACCAAAGATTATAGGTTTAAGCATTGGGAAACTCACCCTGATTTGTGATTACTCATTTGTTATCCACAATTGGCCCTTCATACAAAGTCCGATATCATATTGTGTTCAGCTTTCACCTGTTTGGATTTGTATTCATGTTCTTGTTTGAAGATGTGTATCTTGTTTCCACATGAAGGAGCATGTCATAATATGAATAAATAATAAAATTGGCCTTTCTATCATTTAATTGTTTAGGAGAATTAGTTAATCAACCTTCCAATTGGTTGTTTTATAAAGTGTCTATTTGGTAAGCTTCTAATTTATGTTATGGCAAACTTTTTTATTTTTTGACAATTAAAAAAGAAATACTGTCTAATGGTAATTGAGTTTGAGGGAGATTTTCACAACCACTTGTTGAATTCTGAATAAACATTTTAGGATCAATTGGGAAGAGTATCATTGCTTTCTGGAATTCTTTTCATAACACTGGGGCTAAGCTCGGATGGTGTATCCCCACTTACTCAGTTGCGAACTCCGCCACCTGCAATCACGAACTTGCCTGATCTCCCTATGTCTATGGAGGGCTATTCATATTTAATCATGAACCTGGGACCACTACAGTTTACAAGGAAGGGCTTGTCCGTTGCAAGCACAGCTGCATGCTTAACCTTCACTGTAAGTTGTGTCTCCTTACCTGGTATCCCCTTGTTCCTTTTTTCAAAGTGGATTCATTAAAGGAATGTATTAGGGCTTTATTTTTCAATGTGGAATCTTATGCCATAAATCTTACATGACAAACGTGCACAATCACATTTTTAGCCACAGGGACGTAGAACAAGGGCGTGTTATGTTTTGGGCTGTAACATCATATGTGTAAAACTAATATAACTGCAAAGTAGGCTAGCATTTTTGAGAACAAAAAAAAAACTTGATTAGTCTGACACTTGGGCTTCCATTTTTATGAAAGATCTTCCAAAGTGCTAGCCTCTGCCTGGCAACCACTACCCCAGAACAACTTGCGCTTGCTTTGCGGTGGTTTCTTCTTCCCCTGACGCATATCCGTGTACCAGTGGCTGAAATCATCCTCACCCTCATGCTTTCATTGAGATTTATCAATCTTGTCTTTGATGAGGTAACTAGTCCCAAGTTGATTGTGTAGATAATATATTCCATCAGAAAAGAAAATTATATTTCCAATGATGTTTGAGTTCTTACAATGGTTAGTTGTTTACTAAAGCCTTTGCTAGTAGCATTGGGAGTCTTGAATGCACATGTTATGTTGATAGGTTCGCAGTGTGGCATTGGGGATTGTATCTCGTAGGATAGATTGGAAGCAGTTGACGATATTGGAGACAATTGATAGTAAGAATATAGCCCTAGCCTATCGGATATGATTAAAATTTCCTATTTATCTAATAACTGTCTATTTAATATTAGTGACTTTTTTGGTACTTGACATTGTAGTTTTTGCTTCCTATATACGAAGGATCTTCAAAAATATTTTTGTCCATGCAGAACAAATATCCCAGGTTTATTCCTTTCCTTTTCTTTATGTTTCACTATGTGGGTATTTAATTTGCCATCAATTCTGTTGTTTTTGTCTCTATAGGTAAAATACTCTTTGCCTTATGTGCAAAGTCTCCCTGTTGTGCATTCATTACATCCATTGTTTAGGCCAGTGGCTGCTTTTTGTCTCTTTGTGCTGCAATTTATGAGGAATTTATGGTTATTTGGCAAGTTTAAGCACTATAATGACTAATAGGTAAATTACTCGAACATGTTTACTGAGAAAATTGGATACTGGTTGCATGGAAGAGACTTTAGGAAAACAAGGTACCCATAAGAACAATCTAAGAACAGTGTCCTTAGAAAAAAAAAACAGAATACAGTGAAAGAAGTATCTGCAACCATATCAGAAATTTTCTAAAATAATTACTTTTTTCTAATGGAATGAGTGAACATCTGTATTAGGTGAGCCATATAAGAATGAAGAAAAATATATTGGATCGCCAGATTATCATATTTAGTTAGTAATATTTTGTTCATATAATTGAATGGAAATCTAATGTCCACTTACTAAAAGGCCTGGCAATTTCAGAAACTGTGGCTTGGTGCAAAAAATAGATTGCCGAGTGTTGATATCAAAGTTGTAAACATATGCACAGAAGTAATTTAAATTCACAGACAGGCCATTTGGAACATAACTTTCATTTTTGTCATCCTAGTGTGATTATTAAAAATCTGCGATTATTTCTGTTTTTAATACATGGTTTTTGCAGGCAATGATTGTTAGAGGTTTTAGAGGGGACAGCAACACACATGAAATCTACTTCTTATCAGATTCATCAATTAAGATGGCAGATTTTTTCTCCCTATTGTGTCTGATCGGTCTTGTAGGTGCTGCCTTTTTGTCGGATTACCTCCTCATCTGATTTCTCTAGAGAGCTTCATCGTGGAACTCACTTTCTGAGAATGTGATTGGTATCGTGAAAATTCTAATGATTCATCAATACAGCTTATTCTGCACCAACATTCTGAAGAAAATGCAGTTAGTCATATTTTTCATTTAATTCTCATGGAGAAGCCGGTAAGAATCTAGGAAAAGTTGACTGAGTGGAATCTTGAGGTACTTTCAAGTTTTTTTCAGTTGGTAGTTAGGTTGAAGGTTGAGGACCGTGGAGGGCACCCATTCTTACTATCTCCATCTTAAGTAAGCACATCAGGCATGTTGTAGAAGACAAATTCTTCAAGGAAGACAGACAATGTGGAGTTATTATCAAAGAATTGATGAAAGAAAATCCTCAGACATGCTGGTTGATTGTGAAATATTATATTGTAATGTATTATAGCATGTATGTTTATCACATGTTTTGATCTAGTCTTTAAATCAACATCTGATATGTGAATTGGAAGTTTCATTTTTTAATTGACAATTGAATTGTACGGTTCAGAATACATTTCTTGAATCAAAGTTTAGAATTTACGTTTATAAATAAAGTAGTGTTATAATTTTCAATTAGTTTCTTCTAATTACAAATTATTCTGTCTGATTTTTTTTGACAGCTCAGTGCTATGATTTTTATTATTTCTTGTTCTGCACATAAAATTATTAGCTTTTCAGACTATTATTTCATATTTCTTTTCTATAATTTTAATTTTTTTAACTTCAAAATGTAAATATTTTCTTCAAAACTAATAGATTTGAGCAAAACGGTGAAAAATTAAATCATTGAGGTATGAAAAACTAAAAGTATTAAACTGTTATTACGTTGAAGCTCAAGAGTCGAGACTATAGCCACTGTGAGAATTTGGTTTAGTTTATTTTTCTGTCAAACCAGCTTATAAAATAAGCCAACAGATATTTGCTTAGTTACAAAATGATTTTGTTTGTGATTTATAAATTCAAAATAAATGTTAAAAGAATTTGGGACAAACTATCAAATTAATATTTAAAGTTCATCATTTGTTATAATTTTGTCATCTAATATATTTTTTTTTTTACTATAAATTGGTCTTCAATATTTTTTTGTTTATTTCAAATTCTTAGTTTTTTTTTCTTCTATTTTTATTAGTTAGATCATGTTTGAACAATCTAAAAAGGAACTCAAAATAACAACTTTAACTAACGAATTAAATCAATAAATTAATAATAATATTAGTTCTATTTTTATTGTTATTAATTTATTATTAGTTAAAATTATTTTTTGGGTTATTTTTGAAGCATATAAACATAATAGTTACTTCTAGTTACTTCTCCATTTGCTTAATCTCTGATGGTATCAAGCGGAGTTCAAGTCCTTTCAAATTTGAAGACAAATAGTTAAAAGTTGATGATTTTTGCATGGAGAGTGGTAAATTGGAATGAAGATAGATGTTAAAACTAGCTTCAAACTCAGCACAGAAGCTGAAAATATTAAAAGATGAAATCAAGAATTGGTGCAAAGAGGAAGAAAAAAAGTTTTGACTTATATACATTTTCTTTATTCCACAAGATTGAGACTATTGATAAGAGGGAGGGTGATGAGACTATGTCCAATGAAGATATGGTTCGTAAAGAGGTTTTAAAGCTTGAATTAGCTACCAGAATACAAATGGATGAGACTTCTTAGAGGCATAAATGAAGAGCCTATTAGATTAAGGAGGGGGATAAAAACTGATGTGATCCTAAATAGCTCAAAAATTAGTTCTAACGATATAATCCTGCATCAAAAAAGAACCCCATGAAAATTTGGACTTCCACAGAATAGTTACCACCAAGTCCACCACAACACATAGCCTTACCCATATAGCACATTAAGTGTGCACATGTCAGTGCGAACCCACGCGTGGGAAAAGGTAGCATCCTTTTCCCGTAAGGATTCTTGAAGGTCTTGTCTTAAATAGGCAATCAGTTCAAGAACCGTTTTGTTTTCTAAATAGGATCGACTCAAATGAGAAAGTAAGTTTTAGTGTAACGACCCTGAAAATTTAAAAAGGAAATGTATATAAAGAATATAAGTGCGGAAGCGAAATAAAACGTTCTGGTTAATATCCCTTACACAATAACTTAAACGTACGAACAATACTGAAAATAAGTCATCTTAAAGGAAAATACTGTAAATGAAAGACTATAAACGAAACTAATAAACATCAAGGTATCTACTCGCTATCTTCTTATAGATCGGGCTCGGGAACCAAGTCCTCCTGATCTGAAATGGTTAAGTAAGGAATGAGCTACACTATCCCAGTAAAAACGTCACACTATGTCACTGTCATAGAAGTAAAGGTTGTTAGAAAATTAAAAACAACCAATGGAACACAAGTTTGAAGTAAATTTATTTATCAATAATCAAACCATTTACCGTCCACTTACCTCAGTGGGATTTATAAAAAAAGATCCATGGAAATAATAACATCATAGATATCATAAGTTCATACATAATCTGTAACATGGTACATGTCATACTTTTATATTTCAATCATCAAACAACAGTTACCCCCTTTTTATCAGCCTACCAGTATCCATGGGATCAATAGGGGTCCCCGCTACACGTGAACCATTCCTTTAACAAATTTAATTTTCATGGCCGTTCCCATACCCCGTCCAGTATGGGCACCAAATAATAAAACCTCAATACCCCGTCTGGTATGAGGGTGAAGCGGGTCGTCCCCATACCCCGTCTAGTATGAGCGCCAAAACATTAAAAGTCTCCATACCCCGTCTGGTATGAGACAACGTTTCCGGTAGGGTTCCCTATGAACCCGGTTCGTCCACCATCTCCCAGTATATCTAGTGAGGCTGTCAACTTATCCATTTATCAATTCACATACCTTTTCTATTTTTTCCTTAATTTTTCATTTCTCACATAAACATGAATACTTAAACAAGTAACGAGCATCCAACAAGGCAAACATATCATCGAATTCACAAAATCAAGCCATAATGAAGTAGACAGTGATTCATGCATTCAAAACTATAAAATAAATAAATCAGATACCATATTGCATTTAAACTGTAAAATAATAAAATAGGAACTGACAGAGAAATATGTCCGCTTCAGGCTCCATTAGCAACTGTAATAATTATGTATATCTATTTAATTCATACAAATACATTTTTATCATTTATTAGACTTTAACCTCGTGATATGAAATAGGGTAAGGGAGTCCTTACCTGATTCGAAGTCGAAAACTGAATTTTTTTCACTGCGCCTACAAGTAGTTCCTGGGTTCCCTGAATTTTTTCTCGAAAACTGAAACGCGCTTACGGTACCTACACATATCCCAAATAACTCAAAAATCAGACCCGAGGCCTATTCGGCAAATTTTAGAATTCCGGCACGGCGGTCCGCAGTGCTCCGGTGAAGGTGCCGCCGCATGCGTCGGCGATCTGCCTCGGGTTGGCTGTTTTCTGCCGAATTCGGCCAAACTTGCATTGGTTCCTGTGAGAAAACACTCCTAGGGCCCTCGGTGAGCCCAAAAAATGCCGAAAATCGTAACTTACCGGCAGCAGGGCTCTCTGGTGCGGGGCTCCTCCAGCTCGAGTCGCGATTTAGTGTTTTGCTCCAGTCAACCTGTAGAGGAATGAATAGTGGTCACAATGGTGTAAAAATTACATCGAATGGGAATCGAGAATGGCCTCATCGGAGACAAAAATTGAGAAAACCCGCAGTGGCACCACTGGGTTTCGGCGGCGTTTTCTGACCAATTAGCCAGTTTTTTGGCTTTGATTTGGCCACAGGTGGGTTTAGAATCGAATTCTGAGCCAAAGGGAGAATTTTTACCTTGTTTGGCGGCCGAAAAGTACTCTGGTGCGGCGGCGGGTGGCGGCAATCGGCTCCCCGGCGGCTGGGCTGTCTTCTCCGGTGACGACTCTGGTGGCTAGGGTTAGGGTTTGGACGTGCATGAGATTATTTATAACCTTTCGCTTTTAATATGAGCTGTCTATCGTGATTTAATGTCAACCGTCCGATCGTGATTAAA